AACTGTACTGTATACCTAAAAGGTACCAATAAACTCAATGAGAAAAAAAGATGTTAAAGAATGCACGACTTAGCTGGGCACGGGTATGTGTGTATGCATGTATATATTCGTCTAGTGTTTTCTGGGTGATTTATTCCTGCCTGTAGTGTTGGAGATTTAGCTTAACAACAGCACACTTTGCATGGGTTCCAATTATCTGAGTTCACTAAAGCATTCATCAAAACACAGAGATTTGGGCCAACGATTTAGCTCAGCAGTTCAGTGGCCTGCCTGGCAAGCGCAAGGACCCGAGTTCAATTCCCGGTACAAAAAAAAAAAAAAAAACAGAGATTTGAATGACTGTGTTTGCTCAGATCTATCGCTATTTGTTCATTGTTCTAAGAACATAAAACCCTGGATCTCTTTCTTTGTATCTGAGCAGTGTATGGCTGTCCTGTCACCATAAACCACTCTGTTGTGAAATAACTTGAAAGTGCTCATTTCTTCACTTTTCTATAGACTTAAGATTGTCCCTTTATCTGCCTTGGTATTGTGAACATTTCCTCCACCACACTTGTTAAAAAGTAATTTCTGCGGTTTCTCTTATATGAGAAACTCAAAATATAATAAAAAGCAAAATAAAAGACAGATAATAGGAAGTAGAGAGATAGATCTTTCTCAAAGGGGAGGAGAATCAGGCGATGACAGGTAGTGGGCAGGATAGAGGATGAAGAAAGGAATCAAAATGTATCATGTGCGCATACTAATTAGCATGTGAATGTAAATATCGTGTGCCACAAACATGTATTAATAAAAAACCAGCAAAAAATAAAGAAGATACTTATACATAGAGACCAAAATTTTTAAAAGTAGATTGGGGAATTCTTTAGTCAATCTTCTGCTGTTTGAGACAGGTAGTTTAAACCTGTTGAGTCTCAATTTTCTTAAGTAAAGAAAACAAAATAGAACTTGGGATGGGGGTAAAGCATGGGATTAGCATTCCCAAGGCCCTGGGTTCAATCTTCCGCACCAGGAAATGATGGAATGAATGGCAGCGATAATTTCATAATGTTGAGAGAACTAACTGAGCGGATGTATGCAAAATCTATAGTGTTGAATCTGACGAAAGATGAGTGTCTACTAGCTACTCACTGAATGAGCGTTGTCAGCGATGTATGTACTGTACTCTGTGGCAGAGGGGTATAAAGGAACATCCCACAGAGAAGTGAAATTCAGATGACATAGCTTTACACAGCTGATTTTGAAAAGGCCATCTGCTTCTAACCTGACTGTGAGCAGCAAATGTGAAAAGAAAACATAGCCAAGAGCAATATTTCTTAAAGTTTTACATGCATACAAATCACTTGGGTATTTTTCACATGCAAATTCCAGTTCAGTAGGTGAGATAGGAGAGGCTGCGTTTCCAGCAAAGCCTAGTGATGCATCTGCTACCTGTGCACAGTGAACGCTCTTAGCCGCGTCCTAGATTACTTGAACGTGTGACATTGTCAAAAATGCTGTACCTTGCTGGGGATTTAGCTCAGTGGTTCCACCACCTGCTTTGCAAGAACAAGGACCCAAGTCTGATCCTTGGTACCAAAAAAAAAAAAAAAAAAAAAAAAAAAAAAA